TGAATGGAACAGTATGATTCTTCTGATGGAAGCATAGAATTCTATTGAGTATAAGTACCACATTTTCTTGATTCATTCATCTACCAAGGGGCACTTGTGTTGGTTCCATATCTTGGCCATGGTAAATACTATGATGAACATCCTTGTACTGGTGCGTTTAGTGTGGCCTTGTTTGTGTACTTTAGGGTAGATTCCCAGAAGCGGGATTGCTGAATTATAGGGGAGTTCTATGGGTAGTTTTTTGAGAAACCTCCACACTGCTTTCCAGAGTGGCTGAACAAGTTTATACTCCCACCAATAATGTAGTAGCATTCCCTTTTGGTCACATCCCTACCAGCATCTGTTGGTGTTAGATTTCTTGACTATGGACATTCTGACTGGTGTAAGGTGGATGCTCAATATTGTATTGATTTGCATTTATATTATAGTCAAGAAATTGAGCAATTCTTCATGTGTCTCTTGCCATTCATATTTTGACTTCAGAGAGATCTCTCTTAAGGTCTTTAGCCCACTAAATTTTTAATGAGGTAGTTGTTTATTTGGGGGTTTGTTTTGAAGGAATTTAATTTCTTTAGCTGTTGGTAGATTTTAAATTTGAGACAATTGTCTATGGTATGGCTAATGAAGATCTTTTCCCAATCAGTGGGCTTTCTATTGATCTTGCTAGCTACGTCCTTTGCAGTGCAGAAGCTCTGCAGTTTCATGCTATCCCATTTATCTAGCCTTTCTTTGATTTGTTGTGTTTCTGGATCTTTACTAAGAAACTTATGACCTGTGCCAAGGAGGCATAATGTTTCTCCTATGACTTCTTTAATATTTTCAAGGTATCTACTTTTATCGTGAGGTCTTTGACCCATTTGGAGTTGATCCTGGTGCAGGGTGATATATAGGGATCTAACTTTAGTTTTCTACATATGTGTAGTCAATTCTGCCAGCACCATTTTTTTTGAGGAGGCTGACTTTCTTCCATCCTATTTTTTTTGGCTCCCTTGTGAAAGATTGGGTGGCCATAATTCTGTAGGTTCATTTCTGAGTCTTTAAATCTATTCCATTGATCTGCAACCTTGTTCTTGTGCCAGTACCAAGTTGTTTTGATTACTATGGCTTTGTAATAGTTTGAGGTGCGGTATTGAAATTCTTCCAGCATTGTTCTTCCTGCTAAGGATTGTTTTTGCTATTTGGTATCTTTGTTGTTCCATATGTATTTTTAGATTGCTTCTTCTATTTCATTGAAGAAAGAAGTTGGGATATTGATGGATATTGCATTGAATTTGTATATTGCCCTTGGCAATATTGCCATTTTCACAATGTTAATCCTTCCAATTGAAGAACATGGAAGGTCATTCTACTTCCTGAGGTCAGTTTTAATTTCTTTTTTCAGGTTTTTGAAGTTTTCATTACAGAGGTCTTTTACTTCTTTTGTTCAATTGATTCTGATTTTTTTGAGGGTATTGCAAATGGAGTTGTTTTCCTAATTTCAGCCTCTCTCTTTTCATTGTTGGAGTAGAGGAAAGCTACTGATTTTTGTGATTGATTTTATAGCCTGCTATTTTGCCAAAGTTTTGGATCAGCTCAGGTAACTTGGGAGTGGAATCTATGGGGTTCTCTAGTTATAGGATCATGCCATCTGTAAAGAGGGAGAGTTTTATTTCTTTTCCTACTTGGATCGCCTTGCCTTACTCATCTTGCCTTATTACTCTACCTAGGAATTCTAATACTATCTTGAAGAGGAATGGAGAGAGCAGTCTTTTCTCATTCATGATTTTAAAGGAAATGGCTGTAACTTTTTTTCTTGGGTCCGGTCATGGGGCCTGAACTCTGGGCCTGAGCGCTGTCCCTCAGCTCTTCAGCTCAAGGCTAGTGCTCTACCACTTGAGCCACAGCACCACTTCTGGCATTTTTCTTTTTGCTTATGTGGTGCTGAGGAATCGAACCCAGGACCTCAGGTATGCAAGGCAAGTGCTCTACCACTGAGCCACCTTTCCAGCCCCTAGCTGTAACTTTTCATCATTGAGTATTATACGGGTTGTAGGCTTGTCATATATGGCCTTTTTTATATTGAGGAATACTCCATGGGTTCCTAGTTTCTCTAGAGCTTTCATCCAGAAGGGGTTTTGGATCTTTTCAAGTGCTTTTTGTGCATCTATGGAGATAATCATGTGGTTATTGTCCTTGCTTCTATTGATGTGTTGAATTACATTAATTGATTTGCATATATTGAACCATCTTTGCATCCCTGAAATGAATCCTGTTTGAGCGTAGTGTATATTTTTTGATTAGTTGTTGAAGTCCATTGGCCAGAATTTTATTGAGAGTTTTGTATCAATGTTCATCAGAGAAATAGGTCTATAGTTCTCTTTCTTCGATGAGTTTCTGTCTGGTTTTGGGATGAGGTTTATGGTGGCTTCATAGAATGAATTTGGTAGTGAGCTTTCATTTCCAATTTCATTGAAGAGTTTGAGAAGAATAGGAGTGAGTTCTCCTTTGAAGGCCTTATAGAATTTGGCTGTGAATCCATCTGGTCCTGGGCTTTTCTTGGAAGGGAGATGCCTTATTGCTGCTGCTATTTCATTACTTAATATGAGTCTATTTCCTTGGTTTAAATCTTCTTGATTTAGTTCGGAAATATTGACTTATGCTAGAAATTCATCCCTTTCTTCCATATTCTTAAATTCATTGCATAAAATTCCACATAATATCCCCTTATGTTATTCTGAATCTTGTTAGTTTCATTCATGATGTTTCCATTCTTGTCTCTGATTTTGTTTATTTGGATGGTTTCTCTTCTTTTTTTGGTGAGGTTTGCTAAGGGTCTGTAATTTTTATTGATTTTCTTGAAGAACTAACTCTTTGTCTTGTTGATTCTATGTTTTTTTAAATCTCTAATTCATTTAACTCTGATTTAATTTAATTATTTCCTTCTGTCTCCTGGGTTGGGATTTGCATTGTTGTTCTTTTTCAAGGAGTTTAGGTGTATCATTAAATTGTTTGTTTGAGTTTTCTCCAATTTGTTGACACTCAGAGCTATACATTTTACTCTGAGAGCTGCCTTTGCTTTGTGTCCCAGAGGAGCTGGTATTTGGTGTGTTCCTTTTTGTTAAATATCATAAATGTTTAGATTCAGGATCTGGTCTCTTCCATGACCCATTAGTGATTCAACAATGTGTTGTTGAGTCTTCATGTGCTGCAGGTTTTTCTCTTGGGGCTTTTGGTGTTGAGCATTAATTTTACTCCATTGTGGTCTGGGAGAATGCATGGAATAATTCCAGTCTTTCTGAATTGCATGAGCTTGCTTTGTGCCCTAAAAATGGTCTATTTTAGAGAATGATTCATGTGCTGCTGAGAAGAATGTAAATTCTGGTGTTGTTGGATGAAATATACTGTAGATGTCTGTTAAGTCTAACTGGTATCTGTAATTGTTTAGCTCTGTAGTTTCTCTATTGAGCTTTTGCCATGTAGATCTGTCCATTGGCAACAGTGGTGTGTTAAAGTTACTGTGTATTGGGGTTTTTAGGTTAAGTAATGTCTGTTTAATGAAAGTGGGTGCCCCAACGTTCAGTGTGGAGATGTTTAGGATCACTATATCCTTCTGTAGGAACATTCCCATTATTCAGATGTAATGCCCTCATTGTCTCTTCTGACTAGTTTTAATTTGAAGTCTATTTTCTCTAATATTAGGATTTCAACTCCTAGTTTATGGGGGCCATTTTATTGGGGCTGTTTGCTTGATAGATTTTATTCCAGCATGTTATTTTCAGCATATTTTTGTTTTCTTGAGCAAGATGTGTCTCTTGAAGACAGCAAAAAGATGGATCTTGTTTTTTTTTGATCGACCTGGTCAGTCTTTGTTGTTTAATTGGCGAGTTGAGTCCACTGATGCTGAGAGTTTGTATTGAGAGGTATTTGTCTGTTCCTGCCTTTTCATCCATTTTTTTGGGGAAGGTATGCCTTGACTGTTCTTGCTATGATTATATAATTCTGTTTTGGGGCCAATTCACTGTCAATATCCCTTTATTGTTGGTTTTCTATGTGTAGAACATCTTTGAGGATTTTTTGTAAAGCTGTTTTAGTAACAGTATATTGTTTCAGTTTTTCCTTGCCGTGGGAGATTTTTATTTGTTCGGCTATGAATGAGAGCTTAGCTGGGTAAATTATACTTGGGTGATAGATATTTGTCTTTAGGGCATGGCATATCTCATTGCATGCTCTCCTTGTTTTTAGGGTGTCTGCTGAGAAGTCTGAGGTTAATGTGATTGGCTTACCTTTATAGGTGGTTGTTCTCACTCATAACTGTAAGAATTCTTTATTTAGTTTCTATTGATCCTCTATGGACTATGATGTGGCAGTGAGATGTCCTGTTCTTGTGTGGTCTTTTTGGGCTTCTAAAAGCTTCTTGTATGTAGATGGGCCTATCTGATATTAGAAACGTTCTATTGAAAGTTGATTAACCTAAGATAATTCCTGTATCATTATGTTTACCTACATAGAAGGCCTTACTTTGTGTATAGAACTAGACAGGTTAGCTCTGATGGAATAGTAGTGCAATGTGGAGAGAAACAAAAAGAAAAGAGTGAAAGGAAAATAATTAAAATTAGGAAATTAAAAAGTGGAAGAAAAACCTAAATAATAGTGAAAAAATAGATTTAAGTAAAATAGCAATTCCTAAATACAAAAAAAACCAAAATAAACAAAAACAAAACAATCAAATATAAAAAAATCTAGAGTGAGTTCTATAGTTTCTTGGGGAAGCTTGAGTCTCCATGCAGTCCTCTAAGCAATTTCTTGATAAATCCTTGTTTGCCTTGTAATAGTCTGCTTTCCTTGTGGCTTGGTTGGATCCAGATGGCCTTTTGACAAGGGAAGGTGACTGCTACCCAGTATTCCACTCTCAGGCCTGATGGTGGGGAGTTGGGGGATTTGGATTTTTAGTCTGCTATCACAGGCATGGAGCTATGTTCCCAGGCTTTTCCAGGTAGCCACAGGAGATTTAGAAACAGAGTTTAGTTCTGTGTGGCCTTTGATGTGATCCCTCCCTTTTGGGTTGGGGCTTGAGTTTGAGGGTTTTGAGATCCCACAGAGAATTGCCACCCCCAGAGAGTGGACCCAGTTAGGTTACTCAAAAGATCAGTAGCTGGTAGTGTGCTGAACCACAGGGCCTGTGTTGTGGCATACAGGATGGTGTTGGCTGGTTTCAGTGTGAGGATCTGGGTGTTGGCAGGACCAGTTTGGTGATGGATGGCATCTTCAGCATTTGAAGAATCGCATTCTATATCATAGGGAGTCCCAGTTCTGGGAGGACCGGTGGAGCTTGGAACGGCAGGCTGAAGTAGGCAACAGTGGCGCAATGGGTGGCGGTAGGCAGCCTTGGGGGTGGCCACCGATGGCTTCCGGCTGTTAGACTGTGGGGCTAGACCACCTAGTTTGGGAGATGAAGCCTTCTGCAGCAGATCTGGACTGTGCTGGCAATGGAGGTGAGGGTGTGGGGTCTACAGGATCAGCAGAGCACATAGTGATGCTGCAGTGGCTGTGGGAGCCAGGGGTTGGCGCCCGGTGGTGGCAGGGAGGGAGTGGTACCAGCAGAGTGCCATGCCAGCCAATAATATAATAACAATGCAATAATATAATAACAATGCTTACTGCCTCCAAGTTTTAGTTTACACAGAGAATAGACAGCTCCTCCCATACACACACAGTTGGAATGGCCCAAGCAACTGCTTTAGTTGTTCTTTAGTTATACCCTGTGTCCTTGATCTTGAGCCTGCCCATGCTCCTGTCCTTGAGCTTGTCAATCTCCTCTGCTCAGGCTCCAGCTCCATTCTCTTATCAATCTCCACTTATGAAAGTGAAGCCAAATTAATTAAGAACAAATTCAGAATTTCAAGACAGAATTAGAAGAACAAGCCCTTCCTGAGAGCTGAGTCTTGTGGAACTGCTAAACTCACAAGCCAGAAAGCTGGTCCTGCCTGTTCCCAGTTTCACTAGGGCTATTAAGAAATTAATAAATTAGATAGTTTACAGTGACACTTGTAAAAGCACATTATACAAAGTTAGCAAAAAGTATCTACATTCTGAAGTGTTTTACAAGGGTGAGAGTACTAGGTCTAGTTTTACAGATCCTGAGTGTGAATCAGACCAGTGCTCCTAACTAGAACCATAAGAGCTCAGAGAAGTCATTTCACTTTTCAGTCCTCAGTATCTTCTCTTACAAAGTGATGAAATAGTCAATATGAGCTCAGGTATGTAATCACCTAAAAAGAGTCCTAAACTTGATGATAGGAAATGTGCTTTATTCTGTGTATCTGTTATGGCACCATGTCTGAAAAAAATCTTTATAAACCTGTGTGTGTGTGTGTGTGTGTGTGTGTGTGTGTGTGTGTGTGTGTGTGTATGTAGTTTCCATTGTTTATTCTTGGAAACTGAAACACTAGATAATAATTTTCAATTTATTCATACACATACACACATATACCATGTACACACATAATGCTAATACTAGGGCTTCAAGTCAGAACCTTAGTCCAGTCCTTTAACTTTTTCTTCAAGGCTAGTGCTCTACCATTTAACTACAGCTTCAATTCTTGCTTTTTAGTGGTTATTGGAGATAAGAGTCTAATGAATTTCCCTACTTGCCTGGCTTCAAACCATGATCCTGAGATCTAAACCTCCTGAGTGACTAGAATTACCGATGTGAGGCACAGGTCAATCACTATTTTTGTTTTAAAGCATGTTCCATCACAGTAATTCCAGTGCAATTTATGTGCTCTGGTAGGGGACTTGTTTTTCCTATTGTTTGTATTGTAACAACTTTACCAGTTGTCATACTGGTTCCATGAGGATTTTTTTTCCTGCAAAAGAATCTCTGTATAGTAAAGGGAACAAGTGATATGACTTTCCAAACATTAGCAGAAATAATGGTATTCAAGGTGAATCAGGAGCCCACAGCTGGGGAATGCTGCTGTGCACCCTCCCTGAGGCAGAGGCTGGGGCTGCAGCCCAGCTGCACTTTGGAGCCAGGCTGCAGGATGGCTTGGAGCACTGTGCCTCTGCTGCACACAGGATTTTTCTAGCTGGGAGGCAGAGATGTACAGGCTGCTGTAGCATTCCTTAGAATCCAGTGTTGACTCAGCCTTTCCTTCTGCTTTGTCCCTCACGTAATGAAAAATAGGCTGAGGAAGCCAGCACCAGGATTCTTTCAGAACAACTCACATTGTGAACCATGGTAGAGAAATTGCACCTTAAGGTGGAGCTGGCTCCATCCTGGAGCCTCTGGACTGAAGGACTCTGCTCTACCCACAGTCCTCTCATCTCTCATCTCTGCCTGGAAAGACGACAGAAGCTACACATGGTGTCACAGGGAAATCACCAAGGCTGCTGCCAAGCCTGAGGACAGCCCAGGAAAAGCCCAAGACAGAGAGGACAGCATAGGAGCTTTATGTCAGCTGTCCTTCTTTACTCCCTGTCAGCTTTGGAGCTCCCTGACCCCACCTGTGATTGCCCCAACTCACAGCAAATCTGCACCCACAATAGTCCCAGAACAGTCTCCAGCTTCCTTCCCATGGCTCCTGGACTAGGGTGACTTCTCCCCAGCTCTGGAGGCAGCCAAGTCATAAACCCACACACACTCTTCCCACAGGCAGCAGGTTCCTCCTGACTCACCAGAGCCAGTCACCTCTGAGCTCTGCCCTTCATCTAACAGGAAACTCAGGCTTAGTGCCTGAAGATGCACAGCAGCCCCTCCAGAGCTTCGATGATGGTGGTACAAATTTGTTGGCAATGTTCCAATGTGTGAGGATTAGAAGTCTTTTCTCCTTCTAACAGTTTATATAACAAGTTTATGGGAACATATGAGAAGTAGGGAAATGATATTCCACAGATCCTTCCCAAAGTAAATGAAATCACAGCTCAGGGATTCTTCCTCACAATGGATGTATAGACACCACCTTGCTCTCACTTTCTGGCCTCACATGCTTTCTAGCTTCTCTCTCAACTGTTCAACCTTCTGGCATCTTCAGGTTTTCTTTCTGAAAAATCCTGGCAAGCCCTTTAGTGTACAGAAACCATAACTTCAGACATGCTAATAGCAGCCACATGCCTCCAGTCTCATCCACTCCTACTTTTGTTTTGTTGGGGCTTTTGCTTGTTTGGGGGCTTGAAATCAGAGCCTGGAAATTGTCCCTTAGCTCTTTTTGTGCAAGGCCAGTGCTCTAGTACTTGAACCACAGCTTTACTTTTGTATTTTGCTGGTTAATTGGAGAGAAGATATAATAATCTCCTGGACTTTCTTTTTTTAGGCTGACTTCAAACCCAAATCCTCAGATCTCATCCTCTGATTAAATAGATTTAGTGCTACTTCATTTTTTTATGAAGAAATGAAGATAATCAGAAGAAAAATGTAATTGGAACTAAATGAAACTTTTAACAAGCCATTCTATGGAAATTAAATTTTGAAATAATTTGGTAATTCTCATCTTTGTTACTTATTCTGGCATTTAGTAAAAAAGAAAAACCCTAGATATTTATTGAAGTTGACTGGGAGTAAGTCACAGGAATAAAAAAAAGAGAAGACTGGTTTATGGACTCTATTAATTTTATTGGAAAGGATAAAATACATATATATGCACACAATAGGGAAGAGTAGGACCCTGAGAGAAGCATACATGTGTTTTATAGGCCTTCTTCTATTGATGAATGCTAAGATATGCTTGTTATGTAACAGAAGTAGTTCAATATACTAAATATCTAATAAATATTTTGGCAATGTGGCAGACAGTTCATAGGATTGTCTCTGATTCAAGACTCATGCTGAATTCTATAAAACATAGCCTCATCTTTTTATAGTATTTGTTGTGATTCTTATTGTCATGGTTTATTTCTAATATTGTCTTGAAGTCTCTTCCCTTAGAATAGTCATACGCCAAACATTCTCCATGAGAGCCCTGCCCAGAGAAAGTCACATTCAAGTGTTTTACCAGGTGTACATGGAGCAGGTGGAATTTATTACTCACAGCACAAATGATATTTATTATTTATAGATATTAGGAAAAGTAAGTTACAGAATGGAAGACAACAGATACCTGGGTACAAGAACTTTATTAATGTTTACATTTTCTCCAATAATTAGTCCATAGATTGGCTAGTTTAAGGAAAACACAGTAAAGAGGAGGAGGAAGAGGAAAAACAGGAAAAGGAAGAGGAGGAGGAGGAGGAGGAAGAGGAGGAGGAGGTGGTGGTGGTGGTGGTAGTGGTGGTTTAGGAGAAGGAGAAGAAGTAATAAGAAGAAAAATGAAAGAAACTAAGAAAACAAAAAGAAAGGCAGAAAGGCAGAAAGGCAGGCAGGCAGGCAGGAAGGAAGGAAGGAAAAACATACAAAGAAGAGAATTTGTATATAAGACTTGTGTACAATACAGTGTTGACCATTAGATTTTGTTCTGGTGAGAAGCTGTAGGATGTAGTATTTTTAAATCAGGAAGATGAGAAACAAGCAGGTCATATAAAAACTCACATTGAAGAAACTTTGATCGAAGTAAAAGATTTTTTAACTGGGTTTCAAACAACTGAAATTGTGTTTCAAACAATTCAAGATTCAGAATAGATGTTGTAGCAGCCACTGTATCAAATGTATTTCTGATGGTACTCTCTCACACAGGCACACATTGTAACACAGTATTCAGCTTCTTTTGACTTTCAGTTAGACTAGCTATATGAGGGGATCTGTGGTATATGAGGGGATTGGAGGTATATGAAAAGTCAGGATTATTCATTTCATTGATAAAATAACTCAGGATTTTCTCTCTCTCTCTCTCTCTCTCTCTCTCTCTCTCTCTCCGTCTCTGTCTCTGTCTCTCTCTGTTGCTACTGGTGTTTTAACACAGTTTTGTGCTCTTGATTTGTTTTCTCCCTCAAAGCCTGGACTTTACCATGTGAGCAACAGTTACACTTCTGGCTTTTTGCTGGTAAATTGGAGATGAAATCCCAAATTTATCTGCACAGTCTGGTGTGTAGCCAGGACTCTCAGATCTCAGCTTTTTGAGTAGCTCAGATTACAGACATGAGTCACTGGCATCTAGGTTTAATATATTTATTAGTGTAAATTCTTACTATTCATAAAATCACACAATCACATAATTATTAAATCAATTATTTTATTGATTTTAATTAATTTTAATGTATTAATCAACTATCAATTATTGAATCACATCAACTTGTTATTAAAGTAATAAAATAAAAGATAATTTCAATAAATACATAAATATATATTATAAATATAATTACTTATAAATGTTATTAATTATGCAAAGGAAAGAATGACAGACTTCCCTTATATTATGTGGCCTTTTGGACTACCATCTTTATCTTACTTTTTTTAAAGTCATTCATGCTGTATTTAGTATATCCATATGGCATTCCTTTTGCTATATAATATTCCCTTGTGTGTATACACTATATTTTATTGCTCTGTTTATCAACTGATGAACATTGGGTTAGTTGTATATGTTTTGCCTTTTCTGACTAATGATAGCATGAGCACTTTTGTATATCTCTTTTTTGCCAGTCCTGGGTCTTGAACTCTGTGTTTGAGTACTTTCCCTGAACTTCATTTGCTCAATATTAGCACTTCACCACTTGAGCCATAGTACCACTTCTGGCTTTTTCTGTTTATGTGGTAATGAGGAATGGAACCCAGGGATTCTTGCATGCTAGGCAAGCACTCTACCATTAGGACACATTCCCAGCCACTTGTATAACATTTTTTGTGGTATAATTATGTTTTCATTTCTCTTGGATATAATTAGGATTAGAAATACTGTTTTCCAAAGCAACTGCACCATATTTCCTTTCTATTACCAATGCAGGAGGACCCCAGATTCTCCACAGCACTGCCAACATGTGTTTTGTTATCTGTGTCTTATGTTACCTACCATAGTGAGGGTTAAGTGACATACCAGAATAGTTTTTGTTATCATTTCCTTAAACACTAGTGTAATGACTTCTTTCTAGTGCTATGCGTCACTTGTACCTCATTTTGTTTGTAATGCCTATTTACTCCTTTTGCTCATTTTTTAAAATTAATTTTTATTGAGATTAAGTGATTACAAAAATTTCACAGTATTGTGGGATAGTGATACTTAGTTAAAGTCACAAACCCATTTTAATATTTATGAGGTACATTGCCAATACATGGCCTTTTGCACATTTTTAATAGGACATTTTGTCTTTTTATATTACACTCATTTTTGTTTGTTAAAGTATTTTTGTTAGCATACATCAATTGTACAAGAGGACTCAATTATGACATTTCTGTGTATACATGCATTTTATTCCAATCAAACTTACCTCCTCCCCCAATCTCCATCACCTCATATCCCTGCTTCTTAAAATAGTTTCAATATATTTCATTGTTTTGTTTTCATACATGATGATGAACATTTTGACTATATTCATGCTCATTTATCCTCTCCATGATGCTCTATGATGTACCCATCCCTCAACAGAGCCTGTTCTACACTCTTATCATTCAATTTCTTCATACATTTGTTGTACAAAGGGATTTTATACTTATCACTGAGTTCTAGGAGCTACTTCTCTACACTCATTGAAGGGACTTTATCAGACATGTGACTTATGAATATTTCTCACGTTAATGGAGAGACTTCTTGGTGAAGTAGTTTCAAGCATCTATATTTGTGATGCAGTCAAATTTGCCTGTCTTTATTTTGTTGGTTGGCATTTTGGTGTCATAGCTAAGTATTTACCGAATTCGCTGCCATGGATATTTATTTTATGTTTTCTTAAAAAATAATGTTGCTGTTGCATATCTAATCCATGATCCATTCAGATTTAATTTTATGTACTTCAGAAGGAAAAGCTAACTTTCTTTTATATATAAGAAATTGTCTCTATTCTTTCTCTCTGTAGTAATATGTAATATCTAAATTAGTTTTATGATGAAGTTACCTTTAATAAGGCAAATTTATGTGAAGATACATATGTATATACTCTACTTCTGAAATCAGAAGATCTGTGATTTAATGGGATTCAAATTTGTTAAAATATTTAGAAGAATCATAAAGACAGCTCTTTGATGTACTTTTGAGGTGAAATGTTAAATTAAGAATATTTGAATTTGGGGCCTGAAATATTCAATTAAATGCTATACACCAAAACTAGTGGAAAATACTCATCTAGTATAATATGATCTTAGTAGATATTCAATAATTAATTACTATTAGTTCATTTTTATGTGTTTCAATATAAAAAACTGTCAACTAGATTTCACATTTATTAGATAGTCCATGAAATTTAAAAGGCAACTTTAGATCTGATATGGAATTAGCCTTTCCTTTCTGTCACATATGGTGAATAGGGACAGCTGATGTTAAATTTGGTGGAAAATGTGAGGGTTAAACTTGTAAATTCTTTCAGCAATTCCAAACACTCTCTAAGCGTAATCGTCTCTCAGAATTTAAAGCTATGGGCATTGCAGCATGTGGTTCCTCACCCTTTGTAGAATGGTGAAGCAGAATTTTGGAGGTGAACTATAGATCCAATTAGGGACTGTATAACTAGAATATACAGAGAGCTTTAAAAAATAAGCTCTTGAAAAATCAACAACATAATAAATGGACAATGGAGATAAATATTTTTCAAAAGAAGTGTAACTTGTCAGTGAACACATGAAGAAAAATGCTCAATTTTCCTAGCCATAAAAGAAATCTAGATTAAAACACCATTGAGAGGTTGGGTGCCACTGGCTTATACCTATAATCATAGGTACTCCACAGGTTGAAGCCAACCAGGTGCAATAGTGCATCATATTCTTCTCTCCAATTAATCACCAGAAAAAAGAGCCTTAGTACAGTTGTGGCTTAATTGGCAGAGCACCAACTTTGAGTAGAAAAACCTAAGAGCCATTGTTTAGACCATGAGTTTAAGACCCCATATCAGCACACAAATACCTCACAAAAACCTGACAGAGAGAAAGAGAGAGAGAAAGAGAGAGGTGAGAGATAGACAGATAGATAGACATATATTTCATTAATATGTGTAGTATAACTTTCCCATAGACCCTGGGACAGTGAATCCTGTATACCTCCCCCACAATAACTTTTTAGGTTAAAAAATCTTCTCACAAGGAATAATGTACCATATGGAACCAACAAATCTGATGAAAATGCATACTTAATATTGACAATACAAATGAAAATCTTTACTATCTTGAAAAGCACTAATACATCATTATATTCTTGTCTTTTCTATCCTTACTGTTTTGTAGCACTGGCCATTAGCTCCTCTTTTCTGGCTTGGCAGATATTGGAGAAGCTAGGACTCAAAGATCAATATCAAGTACACAAACAACAAAGGCAGTGAGAAAGTGAAGGAAAAAGGGAGCCTAACTGCAACAATCACTATGGAAATCATGTATGGGTCTTCCTCAGAAAATGAAAAGTAGACCTACTGTATGACTCCACCATATCACTTAAGCATTACCCAATAGAATGTAAGACTGGATATAAAAAAGGCATCTGTATACCTATATTCATTGTAGCACTTGACACAATAATCAAACAATGAAAATGGCCTCGCTTCCCTACAGCTAATCAGTGAATCAAAAAATGCACTAGATAGATAGATAGATAGATAGATAGATAGATAGATAGATAGATAGATAGATAGATAGATAGATAGATAGATAGATAGATAGACAGATGCAGGAAAGATAGGTGATTGACCGATGATAGATATAAGACAGACAGACAGATAGAGATCCACACTAATGTGTGTGGTATAATTTTTCTAAGGGCTCTGACACAGTGAATCCTGTTTACCTCCCTGACTCTCACTTTTTGGGTCAAAAACACTTCTCACAAGGAAAAAATGTACCATATGGAACCCACAAAACTGATGGAAATGTCATGCTTAGTATTGACAATACAAATGAAAATCTTTACTGTCTTGAAGAAGACTAACAGATCTTCATATTCTTGTCTTTTCTATACTTACTGCTTTGTAGCACTGGCCTCTAGCTCCTCTTTTCTGACTTGGCAGATATTGGAGAAGGTAGAATTCAAAGACCAACATCTCCAAGGATCAGGGAAAGAAATTTACCTCAATAATTTTTCTTCTTCAGTCCCTAAACACTGCCTGTGCCCTCAAAAGTTGTCTTGTTTATGAGGATGATCCAGCTTGCGTGTGATAAGGGTGGGAGGAATCTAGTTTAGAGCCCTGAGAATTAACATTCTCAAGAACGCCAAGTCTCTAGTCATGTAAATTTTACAAAACAAAATTAAGAAATATTCCATCTTTTCTTTCCATGTGTGTGGTCATATGTAGAAATCTGTTTTCCTTCCTTTCCTATATTTCTTTTTTAAGAATGTGTTATTTCTTGGCATAAACTCAGCTTTATTATGATTCTTCCTTCTGAAATGACCCCTTCTTGCACCAGCAGCTTACTAAGCAGACATTAGTATTTAGACTATGGCACAACTCTGTATCTAAATACAAAAGTTGTGACCCAGGTCAAGTTCAGGAGGATAGAGTGATATTCAGATATTCAGATATACAAGCCAGGTGTAGTGGTGTATGCGTTTAATTCCCTTACTCTTATACAAAATATAAAAAGAAAAAAGAATGAACATATAGAGCATTTCATTCATCTTGAGGTTTTATACTTTTAAAACACAATTTCATTCTTTCTCTGAGCACCTATGTGAAAAATGTCTGCATTTTTCTCTATTGTGATCCTAGTGCTACCTGTGGTGAATGCAAACATTATACATTGTTACACTGTTTCATCCTCTACCAACGAGTACTATTGCAGAACAAAAACTTAGAAGCCAGGCTCCTGCTGCAGCTCAGTTTGTGCTCAGCTCCTCCTGTGGTTTCTGCCACTGTGTCTCTCAGAGCACAGTAGTACACAGCTGAGTCTGACACTAGGACTGTGGCTTTCTTCAAGTGGAAGGAGGTGTTTTCTTCATCAGACATGGCTTCAAATCCTTTATGGCCTCCCATCTCATTGGCCTTGGCGACTTTAATAAGGAGCTGCAGACCTTCTCCAGGGTATTGGACATACCAGAACAGGGTGGGATACCCTTTGGTTTCATAGGAACAGTTCACAGTCAGGGAAGCCCCTTCTAACAGGGCCACTTGGCCTTGTGTCTGGGTCACTGATTCTCCATTGCTTCCTCCTGAAAACAAAATATGAGAATTCAGCGAGAATTACCTTGATATGCTTGGTCATGACCCTTCTGTTTCTTAGAGAAACCATGGGTAAAGATTCCCTCAGCATCATGAACATTTTTTTTGCACCATATCACTCACCAAACAATAGGAGCAGTACCATCACTGGTCCTGGGGAGCAGCTCATTTTCAGAGCCTTTGCAATCTGTGAATCTTGATTTCTTGTTGTAAGTAAAGGTGAAGGCATAGGAAAAGATAAAATGTGAGCTGAGGATGACAGCAGGAAGTGGGTGTGTGTTAGGAAAATGTGCCCCCTTGTGGGCAAGATACCAAAACTGGAGGTCTGTTAACCTCTTAAAGACCAGTGCTGCATCTCCATTTCTGATGGTTAGTGTCCGTGTGTGTGTGTGTGTGTGTGTGTGTGTGTGTGTGTGTGTTAGATACCTATTAGCCTTCTGTTGATCCTTTTTAATTCTTAAGAATAGCTGATATTTTTTATATTTTGAGTCATTATGTTGTTTGCCAAATTCTTAAAAGATTTAAGTTTTTAAGTTTATTATTTGTATTTAGGTGGTTTTTTTTTTGCAACTCAGTGACTTACTGAAAAATATAAAAGTAAGTTTTAGGATAAAGCTGTAGGAATGTGAACATGTTTGGTCACTAGCTCATATTGTTTAACAGAGTATTAAATTATGCCTCACTGTGCTACTTTTGGAACAGCGTCACAAATATGATAGGTAATTCAAAAATATGTTTCAATGCAAACTTAAATAAATGGATGGCTTTAAGCATGGGATTGTGGCCCTTGCATGAAGTCCCAGCGCATGGGTGGCAGAGACACAAAGAGTTTCAGTTATAGGCTAGCATGGGCTACATAGCATATTCCAAGTCAGCATGGCTTATGCAGAGAGACTGCCTCAAGAAAAGTTGGAAACTTCAAATTCCCATTTTCATCAGCATAAAAATCAGTCAATCATAATCTCAACAAAGAAAACTCAGAAGTAAATGGGACCATAGAGGTATTTCAATCAGCAGCTGCACTTTTAGAAAAATGAAAGCAAAGTAAACTGCCAATTATTGGCCAGGAATAAATACTAAAGACTAGAAATGAATTAAATCGATGCTAACTATTCTATACAAAGAATCACTAAAATGAAAAATAAGATTAAAAGAAATAAGATTGATAAAATTGCTGGTGCAGGTGGCTCATTTCTGTGATCCTAGCTATTCAGGAGGCTGAGATCTGAGGACTGTGGTTCAAAGCAAGCCCAGGCAAGAAAGTATGTGAGACTCTTATCTTCAATAAACCACCGGAAAACTAGAAGTGGCACTGCGGCTCAAATTGGTAGATTGCTTGCCTTGAGCTAATGAACTCAGGCATAGTATCTAGGCCTAGAGTTCAAGCCCCACAACTGACCAAAAAAAATGATAAAATTCCTAGCTAATTTGACCAAAAGAAGGAGGGGGAAAAACCCTCAAGTTAATAAAGTTAGAGATGAAAAAATATCAAAATAACCATCAAAGAAATACAAATAATTGCTAGAAAACTGAAAACTTGTGTTAAATGAATTGGAAAATTCAGAAGAAATGGAAAATTCCTGGGTATATTTGAACTACCATAATTCAATCAAAAAGCTATAAACCACATAAACAGATTTAAAATAAGGGATGAGATTGAACATAAAATAATCTCCTAATAAAGAGAAACCTTGGACCTGATGAATTCATAGCCAGTTTCATCAACTCTTCAATAATTAACTCCAATAGTCATCAAACTCTCCATAAAATAGAAAAGAAAGGAACAATATCAAGCTTATTCTATGAAGAAAGTATTACACTTTTCCAAAACTAAACAGAGATACAATAAAAAGAGAGAAAATCATAGACCAATATCTTTGTTGAAGACTGATGAAAATTTCTTAATAATAATTCTTTCACACAGAATTCTACAACACATTAAGAAGATCATATACCATGAGCAAGTTGGCTTTACTCCATGAATGTAAGGAAAGTTCAACAAACATGATCAATAAATGAAATTCATCACATAAATAGAATCAGCAAAAAATAACACAAGATCATCTCAATTGACACATCAAAACCCCTCACAAAATTCAAATTGTTTCATGATAAAAGTTCTGGAGAAACTTAGAAATGAATTTAATGAAGGCTACATATAAGGAACCCATAACAAACACTGCCTTTTTAGTTAGCATAAATAAATAAAATAAGTAGATAAATACAATAAATAAATGAACAAATATTGTTTTACCCAGTAAAATGAATACTCTTCGTTGAAGTAATGAAATCATTTTAAATGTCAGATTCCTGTTGACACTATCACAATATTTAACTTTCATAACAAAAACAACCTGGGACCAACAAAAAACAGACACATTGACCATTGGACCAAAATAGAGGACACAGAAATAAATATACACAACCACCATCATCTTATTCCTGGCAAAAGATTCCAAAAGCAAATTCTGGAGAAATAAATATACACAACCACCATCATCTTATTCCTGGCAAAAGATTCCAAAAGCAAACTCTGGAGAAGAGAACCTCTTTGCCAAATGATGCTGGGAATACTGGATGTTCACATACAGATAATAAAATAGATTCCTATCTCTGTACAAAACTCAATTCCAAATCAAAGATCTTAAAGGAAGACTCCAACTTTGAAGTAACAGGAGAAAAACATAGAGAAAACCTTTCATGATACAGGACTCCTATAGTCAAGAAAGAGTGAGAATTGATTAAGAGATTACATCAGATTAAAAATTAAATAATAATCATAATAAAGACATAACAAAGGGGTTGGGATAAAATATTTAAAAGCTACTCATGTAACAGCAGATTAATATCCACAATATATAATTCACAAAATTAAACACCCCAAAGAATAATCATATTAATAAGTGCACAGATTATTTGAGAAAGCAGAAGTACAGATTACCAATAAATACATGATTCAAAATTCATAGCCATAAAGCAAATGCAAATCAAAATAACATTGGAATTCATCTCACCCTTGTCTGAATGGCTATCAGCAAGAAAAGAAACAACAGATACTGGTGAGAATTCTGGGGGAAAAATGAGCCCTTTTATACTTCCAGAAGTAGTGCACATTTTTCTTGAGACATCAGAATGAGCTAACTGTCAGGTTAGGAGGGTTAGGAGTTATGTGTCCTCTGGTTTGGAGGACCTTCTCAAATCTCTTTTTAAGAGTTAGTTGGTAAGCTAGGCTAACACCTGCGACCTTATCTATGTAGGAGGCTGAGACCTGGAAAGTTACAGTTCAAAACTAACTTGGTGAGAAAAGCCTGGGAAACTCTGTCTCCAATTAACCAGCACGAAGTTAAGCTGGAGGTATTTCACAAGTGGCAGAACACCAGCTTTGAGCTGGTGAGGTTCTAAGTTCAAGTGCCAGTATCAGTGTGTGTGTGTGTGTGTGTGTGTGTGTGTGTGTGTGTCTGTGTTTGTATGCACAAGTTAACAAGTTAACTGGTAATCAATTTCAGTACACAAATTCAGAGATCCCTCCAACAAGAAAATGAACCTTCAGAATTAGTTATTCTTCAGAAAGAAAGAACCTCCTCAGGTGGCTTACAATACAATGTGTATGTGTGACTCAGATCTATAAGTGATCATTGCACTAAGTAGACTGTCAGAGTTTCAGTGAAGCATCTCTGGGGTTTACATGGGAAGAACCTTGAATCTTCATAGGTTTTGAGTGCACTATCAGAATGGTGCTAGTGTGACAACAGAGAAACAAAAACTGCTAACTTGCACTATTCTTCCTCAATCACCTTATGACAAAATGACCAAGGCTGGATGAGAAAGATATCTTCCTGCCAAGCCTACTACGAATTACCCTTGAACACAGATTCTTTCTTTTTCTTTTCTTTTCTTTCTTCTTCCTTCCTTTCTTTCTTCCTCTTTTCCTTCCTTCCTTCCTTCCTTCCTTTCTTCCTCCCTTTCTTTCTTTCCTTCTTTCTTTCTCTTTCTTCCTTTCTTTCCTTCTTTCTTTCGTTCTTTATTTTTCTTTCTCTCTATCTCTCTCTTTCTACTTTTTTAAATTATTATTATAATGTGAGGTACAGAGGGATAATGGTTACATAATTCAGGTAATTGAGTATATTTCTTTTTGAACAGTGTCAGTGTCACCTCTTCCCTTGTTTTCTCCCAGTTTTTCCAACCACTCTCTTCGACAAGTTGTACAGTTCATTTTTATCATAGTGTCTCTTCAGTATCACTGCTGCACTTTTCATCCTTTGTCCCATAATTTCTGTGACCTCCTTACTCTCCTCCAAACTGTTAAACTATATATAACTATATATGACAAAAAGTACAGATATCAAAAAGAGTAACAAAAGAGAAAGAAAAAGAAGAAAATAACAAAAACCCATTTGTTTTCATTTCTTGGAGTTCAATAAACAACATTTTCTATGACAATATGTCTATAGCTATTGAACCTTTGTGACCTTCCCCCTAAGAATATCCTCCTTTGATCTCACTGTGTAAATGTGAAGAGTCCTGCAAAATTTATCATGTCCTTGTGTATTTTTTTCTTTTACCATCTCTTACTTGTCAATTTATAGGCACTTTCTAGTTACAACAAATGAGGGAAACCAGGCAACCTATGTTTCTTTGGGTCTGGTTTATGTCACTTAATATAATTTTTTGCAAGTCTTTCCATTCCTTAAGAATGGTACAATATCATTCTTTCTGATGGAAGCATAGAATACCATTGTGTATGTATCTCATTTTCTTGATCCATCTACTGAGGGGCATCTGGGTTGATTCTATATCTTGACATGGCTGTGCTGTTAGTTTAGTGTGGCCTTGTTTGTGGTCAAATGGGTAAATGCTCAGTAGTAGAATTGCTAGGTGATAGCAAAGTTCTGTGTTCAGTCTTTCCAGAATGGTTGAACAAGTTTATATTCCCACCAACAGTGTATGAGAGTTCCCTTTCAGCCACATCCCCACCAGCATCTGTTATTAGTAGTTTTCTTGATAACTAACTAGGGTGAGGTGAAATTTCAATGTTGTCTTGATTTGCATTTCTTTTATGGACAGGGATGTTGAGCCTTTTCTTCATGCGTCTATTGGCCATTTTTATTTCTTCTGAGAAGTCTCTCTTTAAGTCTTTAGCCATTTTTAAATTGGGTTGTTGTTTCTTTGAGGGTTTAATTTGGGGAGCCTTAAGTTTTTGAGCTTTAAATATATATTTTAGATACGAGG